ATGATTCAAAATTATAATATATGTATAGTTCTCTAGATATGTTATTTTTTTTAATTGACAAATTTTCATTTTTATTCGATTTGGAACTGATTTTTCTAGAGTGACATAATAAGAGTATATAGATAAGATTGAATAAAAGATTGAATAATATCTTTGTTCTCTGATAAAATGAAAAATAGAACTTACCTGCAAAGTATAGACACAAACATGAGTTACACTCCGAAATTATTACAAATTGTCAAACTCGCCGCGAACGTCAACATCGTTGGCTACCACTCGGCTGCAGAAAAAGAATAATAGTAGTATGCAATTTATTAATACTGCTAATGTTTCCTTTTAATTTTAATATACGCGTATTTATTATTATATTGATACCCGAGAGGTCTAACCAAAAACACTACCGTGTTTACATCAATCAATTTTATCGATCCAGCGGATAAATCAGGCCAATAAATTAAGGTCACTGCAGGAGCCAGCGAACATTGATTCGCTAGATTCTACAATAACCCTGACTTATCAGTCTGATAATCCGCTAGGTCAATAATAATGACATCTCGTGACAGACGTTGCAGCCGTACAAAGGCGACGATAATAACGTTTCTTAAAGTAAAAATTTCCAAATCGGACTTTGTGTAGCAGTATCTCTACTTGTAGGGCACGTAGCAGAAAAATAAAAATACTTTTATTATGCAAGTCGAACTCAAGCTATCGATCAAGCCTACTTAGAACTTGATCAGTATAGCCATTATTGAGATTCAATAATTTCAGATGCTCGAACCTCGACGACTCGCGTAAAGTCACACGGTAGTGTTCTCGGTTGACTTGACACTTGAGACACTACCGTGTTTCCTGATTATATGTTAGCTTTTTACTTATTATATAGTTGAGCCTTCAGCGTTTACTTGTATGTAGTTGAGCCTCTCATATCATTGAATGTTCTATGTAATTTTATATATGTAAGTGGTGCTGGGATGACACCTGTTTGACCACGTCCTGATTGACCACTAGCCATTCATAGCGCTTGAATAGTGGAAAAATTCTAGGTGCAAGCCCCTGTAAGTGGCTAGTGGTCAATCGGGACGTGGTCAAACGGATGTCACTCATTGGGTGGGTCCATAGTGCATGTTCTGGAAAATACGTTCTGGAAAAATAAAATATAAAAAATTATAATACAAGATTCATCGATTAGAATATACAAATTTATAAATTTGATTACCTTTTGCTCGTATTTGCAAACACATGTTCCATATCCAATAATTCAGTATTGCTGGCTCAGCGAAATAATCTGAAATAAAATTTATATTAATATAGCTTTTTTTTCTTTAAACTCTGTTTAAAAAGTTAATAATTCCTTTCGTCTTAACGATTAAAGAATAAAAAATGTTGATTTATATTGAGATTATATTGCCACAAAGACTTGAAAATTTGAATACAAATTGATAAGTAATATTAAGTAATGTTAATATATAATAAATATGATAAATTAGGTCAGTTTATTGTATCTCTTATTTATTAAATTAATTAATTATTGCGTTTATTATTGGTTGACTATTTAAATAACTATTACTTACATAAAATATTTATAAAAGTTGCCGAAACGATCGGAACTCCTGTAGTGGAGATCATGCTAGTGCCATAGCGTTTTCTAATTGATTACGTCAATCCCCACTTTCGAGTGCTCCTGTTTTTCCCGTGTTGCAGGAAACCATGATACAAGCAGAGAGAAGCCTGAGAGCGGACGTGTTCGCGATTTAGCTATAACTTTATTTTGAAGCGCCTCTATGTTCATAAAAAGTGAATATTGAATTATGTAGCCAATGTCCATGATCCTGTAGGTAATGTCCATGATTGTGTGGTTCTCATTCGTGCTATGTCCACGAATTCGTGATTTTTTGTTCAGTGCTATATGCAAGAGTGACAGTTAGTTAGATAAAGGAGGAATGATCAATCTCTATCCGTCCTTGTCTCACAAAATCGTGGATATTACCTAGTATCATGGACATTGGCTATGTAGTTCAATGTTCACATTTTTATGAACATAGAGGCGCTTCAAATAAAGTTACAGCTAAATCGCGGGCATGTCCGCTCTCAGGCTTCTTTCTGATACAAGCTTCATTCGGGGTGCAGCCACTTGGTGCTACAAATGCTTCAAAGTATTTTTTGATTGGTCAATTTATAAAATTTTTTGTTTTGATTGGTTAATCAAACGCTTCGAAGCTTTTGTAATGCTAAGGCTAAGGTCTACAATGTGTTATGTGTCGGTGTCGTGAATCATGAGTCGTAAGAACGGGCCAAAGACTTAGTTTACATTTAGCCGTCCAGGTTCACTTTGATGAATTCAGGTTCACTTCAAAATGAAGTGGATTTAGGGAGAGTACACCGGATTGATCTTACTCCGCTAAGAAAAGAGGATTAAAGTGGATCGAAATTAATCCGTTTACACTTAAGAAATATTATTTCATTCCGAAGTGAATCGGGAATGGCTGGGTGTAAACTAAGTCATACACGAATACACTCATACCTTGTTCTATGTGGTCTCATAAAAAGATATCACCTGTAGAATACACACGTATCACCTACTATAGTATATTTTACGGACATCCTATATTTGTGTTCGCCATAAACTACAAGATTTACGGAAATTTATGAAATCTTATATAATATAACTTATATAGTATATTTTACGGACACTCTATATTCGTGTTCGTCATAAATTACAAGATTTACGGAAACTTATGAAATCTTATGGATGCAGTATGTATATAAGCATTTGGAAAACTAAATCCAATATGTGAAATCAAAACGCATGTTATTTAATTTAAAGATTTTATTAAAATTTAATAGGAACATTTATTTCCGATTTTAGGAAACTAAAATGATAAAATCCGTAATTTCTGAAATAAGGAAAATGTAACATTAATGCTTATATTCACTGTGTTCGTCAGATAATTTTAAGTATAATAACGTGGCGCCCGATTGCCCACGTTGCCGATTGGCCAATTTAAAATAAAATTATTTGATTGGTTGATCCAGTAGAAAATCTCCAGGCATCGGTCGCTGTAAGTGGCTATGTCCAATTGTGGTCAAACGGGACGCTCTCTACAGAAATCATAATGGTAAAGTAAAATTTGATTTAAGAAACAAATCATCATTTTCAGCTCAAAATCCCTAGGAACGCGCCGCGCGAGACGTGACATAGGATGCATCCAGAAGCGCAGTGAGCGCTCACTGCTTTTTCGATATGATTGTTCCTTGCCTCTAGATCTTCGTTAAATCTAAGTATAGAAATCAATCATAGTGAAAAATCACTGAGCACTTACTGTGCTCGTTGCACTTCTGGATGCACTTTAGGATGCGTTCCACTTAACGCTTGCAACGCTCGCAGCGTTCGCAAACCCGTTCCACATAATGACCGAGATTGTGGTCGCGATCAGAACGTCATAAATGATGTCATTAATCGCAACTGCAACGAGCCCACGACGCTCACAGTTCGTAAGTGGGTCGGCGCGGTCATTTAAGATTTCGCCCACGACGCCTGCAAGGTAGTGGAACGGTAAATATTGCGATCGTGGTCGTAATCGTTGCGAGCGATAAGTGGAACGCACCCATAGTGTTACATTGACCGTAACCTTAAGCCGGCTGCACACAGGACGCGGCAACACGACACGCGGCAACGCGGTAGCCAATCACTGTTTTGTTTTCTAATATGCAACGATGTTATACATCAGAAAACAAGACGGTTTGGCTATCGCGTTGCCGCTTTGCCGCGTTCTGTGTGCAGCCGATTTTACTGTATTGAAAATCTATAGTTCATGTATTTACATACATTATACATTTTTAGACAATTAAACAATTTTGGAACATAGCTCAAATTAAAAGTCTAGACCCGGCTTTGGATGAGTTTGGAATGACGGTACGTTTTTTGTGAAAAAATCTGAACCGAAAGATTGAGATTGATAAAGAGAAACAGAAAGAAAGATTATTATTATTATTTTTATTTAATTAGTACAGCTATCATACATCAAAGAGAGAGAGTTTCATGTCTTCTTTTTTTATATCTGTAATTTATAGTTGTGATTGTGACAAATATTGCTAATGTTGATTTTATATTTATATATATATATATGATATCGACAACATTAGTTTAATACAAATAATACGATAATTACGGTATGTATGATTCGTTTGATCTGAATCTTAAATTTTAAAACAACATGAAACGAAGTAAAAATCCTTTCATTTTTCATGTGAAATATTGTATGTTTTTGTTGCAAGATATTGCGTTAATTTAAAACTATTACTGTGTTTTAGATGTGTTCATTCAAGTTCTATGAAATACGTTGAATTTCAATACATATTTTTGAGCTATAAACCAAGAATCATAATGTGTCGTTTAAGAAGAGAGAGAGAGAGAGTTAAATGATATTGAATATTTTAAACTATTAATAATTTAAAAGTTAACATGGATATAACAATGAGATACTGTCCACCGAATATAACTTTTACTGATATTTGGGTAAATCATGGGATGTCTAAATGCTTTATGGATACTGTTTGTATCAGTATAATTTCTTTATATCTGATAGTATTTGGATCTATCCAACTTTGGATATATCACAAATATGGAACAGAAGCTGATGAGAATACATTGCCAAAAAGCAAATTATATAATTTGCAGAAATTTGTTTTATATTTTGTTCCCTTTTTAAGTATAATCAGAATAATTCTACAGGCTACAATCTTGGATGATGGAATGGTTTATGGATACATGGTAAGAACTTGCATATGGTACAAATTTGTTTTATGTGAAAAATTAAAAGTTTCTTATTTATATAATATTTCTGACCATTTATTTTTCTAACTTATTTGGATATTTGACTAAAAGTTTCCAAATCAAAAAGAAAAATTATATATCTTACTTGAAAAGCAAAAATAAAGGAAGAAGTTTAAAGATGGTTCATTTTGACTATGAATGGAAAAACCTATATAATTATCATTTCAGAAATCTAAATATTCATGAGAGAAAGCTTACTTTATCCTCAAGAAACCTTCTAAAAATAATAAAATAGGTTGTTTGAACGCTTTGAAAAAAAAATTATTTTGTTTCTGAATGAAACAATGATAGACTTCAAAAACTAATGTGTTTACATTTAACACATGTTAAACACATTAAATATTATAAGAACATTA